TGCAGTGGGAGGGATTTTAGCAACAATTCATCCAAGTAAAAATTCTATGACTGAGGTTCATTGCTCTGCGTTTTAGTGATGAGGGGTACATAGTGAGTCTACCACTTCTATCTCTTATGATTATTAGGGAATGTTGTCTTGTTGAGATGAAAACATAATAGAGAATGGGTTGAATTAGGTATGTATTATGATGTGCAAGGTTGGTGGTTCAAGCTCACCAACAGCTCCTCGGGAACCCTATACGGGGTCGCTATGGGTCGGAACCGACTTGACAGCACTTAACAACAACAACAACATGATGTTGAAGCTTGCAAAAGCATTTGCCATCTTCTAAACCAAACAGCTCATGTATGAAATAAGAAATAAGAAAGCTAACATTTAATTCGATGTAACCGTCCTATGTTATTCAGTTGGGTGGTGGTCTAAGTTTTTTGTGTGTGAAATAATGTCTCATTATCTCTTAAGCTGGTACATTTTTATAGATGGCTGTTGTTGGATACTTACAAGCAGATTTTGACTCATTATGACCCCATATGACAGAATAGAACTGCCCCATAGAGTGTTCGAAGTTCTAGTCTTTATAGGAACAGATCTTCTGGTCTTTTCTCCCAGGAAACCCCTGTGTGAATTTGAATTTCTATCCTTTCTGTTAGCAGCTGAGCACTTCATCATTTTAACACTATGACTCAGAAGAAAAAAAAATGTGAATATTGTGTATATATCCATGGGCACACAGACCAATTCCTTCTATGAGACTCAGTGAGGGGAAGCTGAAGTAGGTTGAGTAAGAGAGCATAGGATGAAGTTGGTATGCTTGGTAAAGCAGAAGGTCAGTGAAAAAGAGGAAGACCCTCAAAAAGATGGATTGACCCAGGGGCTGCAATGATGGGCTCAAGTATAGCAACACTTTTGAGGATGGTGGGGGACTTGGCAGTGTCTCATTCGGTTGTAAACAAGGTCTCTATAAACTGGAACAGACTGGATAGCACCTAACAAAACAAACAACAGGATGATGTGGTGATTAATGCTTAACAAGAATAATACATTAGAGAGCTGTGTACTGATCCTTTTTGGACATCCACAATGGAACAGACAATTTGTTAGGCTCTTACCATAATTTGCCATGTTCAGTCATCACAACAATGGTAGAATAGGCATTTCCCCCCATTTAGTAACTAGGAAATGAAAGTTCAGAGAAGTGAAACCAGCTTCCAGGATCACACAGGATTTGAAATTAAGATGAATGGATGCAATTCTCTGCCTTCCAGAAGCTTTTATCTCTGGCTTTAAATTAAGCTAACTTCTTCTCTGTTCTCCTGAGGGAAAGACTGATAATTGTGCATAGATGTCCATTATATTCATCCATTTTCAGGGAACATTTTGCATTTGCTTTATGGGTTATGAATTGTAAGTACAAAGAGAGAAACAACAAATGCTTTTGTTTTAAATAAAGAAGCCCAATTTCATTAAATGTTCCCCCTTTTTTTTTTTTTTTTGAATTATTAGCATAGTTAAATGCTACCAAGCATAATTGTTGTTGCGTTGTGAAGTGTCCTCCAGTTTTGAATCATAGCAGTCCTGCATAGGGTATCCAAAGAGTGGCTGGTGGGTTTGAACTGCTGACTAGTCCAGTCCAGTGCTTAACATTGGCTCCTGCCAATTGATAGGAGGGGTCTCATATTCATGGAAGGTTAAATGTCCTCCTGAGGGGATAACCCACAATTTCCACCCAATCTCTGTTGTTGCTGTCGTTGTTAAGTACTAGCAAGTCAAATTGCTTCAGATTCATAGTGACCTTATACAGTGTTTCCAAGGAGTAGCTGGTGGGTTTGAACCACTGACCTTATGGGTTAGCAGTTCAGTGCTTATCCTACAGTGCCACACCAGGACTCCACATCAGTTTGTTTTTTCTTGTTGTTAAGTACAGTCGAGTAGGTTCCAACTCATAGCAACTATGTATAGGGGCAGCTAGTGAGTTTGAACCACTGACTTTGTGGTTCAAACCAACCTTGAGGTTGAGTGCTTGTCCTATGGTGTCACATATTAATTTAATCCACTTTAAATATAATGTTGTTGTTGGGTGCCATAGAGTTAATTTTGCTTCCTAGTGACCCCATATGAAAGAGCAGAAATGCCCTATATGCCCTATTCTGAACTGTTAACCACAAGATTGGCAGTTCAAGCTCATCAGCTGCTCTGTGTGAGAAAGATGAAGTTTTCTGCTCCTTAGAAAAGTTACAGCCTTGGAACCCCTAAACATTTAAGGTAGCTATGAGCCAAGAACACCTAACAACAGTCTATACAGAAGTGGATTGAGGGTCTTACTCTCACAAAGTTTCTGGATGGGTTAGAACCACCAGTCTTTCACTTAGGAGCATAGTACTTAACCATTGCTCCACCAGAGAAACAAATGGTAAATACTATATTTTAAGTTACCATTTGCATAAAAATCTACCTTAAAAATAAAATAAAAAACAAAAAATGGATAGCAATGATGTTTGTGCAACATAGGAAGTTGTATGTTAAAATGGCAAATGTTTTTTTGTAAATAGTACTACAATTTCAAAAAAAGATAAAGAGAAAATGGAAAACCGAAGAAAAATGGAATCAACAGATAAATAAAGCTAAAATAAAAATCATGAATTTGTGTTTGATTAAGTGGGACAAAATCGAGCTCTGACGTGTAAGGCTGTCCCACCAGAGCTAGCTAAAACAGAACTAGTGAAAGCTTGTTGGGGAAAAGGAGTAAGAGGGTCTTCCAGCAGTGAGGGACAGAACCTGGCCAGGGTAGCTTCCCAGAGGTGTAAAAGCTGTCTGTCTGTCAGTCTCAGTCTCTCTGTCTCTGTCTCCTGGGGGCTGGAGGAGAGTTGTCAGGATGAGGTGTGGGTGGAAGGTAGAAGGAGTAGAAATGTATGAATGTAGATACTTACCAGGTCAGCCCCTGGGGCTGGAGTACCACCTGGTATTGCAATAAAATACTTGGCACTGAAGAATCAGCACTGAACTGCAACCCACAAGGTCGGCAGTTCAATCCCACCGGCCGCTCCTCTGAAACCCTATACAGGGTCCCTGTGAGTCGGAACTGACTCCTCCTTGGCACTTAACAACAACAGTGAAGTCTTGGTGTGGTGCTGTAGGATAAGCCCCAGACCACAAGGTTGGAGGTTCAAACTCATTAGCTGCTCCTCGGAAACCCTATATGTGGTCGCTATGAATTGGGTTGCTATGAGTCAGAAAGACTAGACTACACTTAACAACAACAACAAATCACATCCCTGGAGTCGTGGTGTGGTGCTCTATACACCCTGTAAGACTTGCTCAGTGTTCTCACATTTATTGCTTAATTTATGTTATAGGGGCAAGACCCCGTTTTCAAGGCCTGGTGAATCCAAAAGTAGTCATCACCTCAGAGGAACCTTGGAAGGGAAAGAGAGGGAAAAAAGTAAAAAGATCCATTTTACCCTCTAAGAATTTCAGCGGAACCTCCAAAAACCAAGCCAGCGAAAGTGTAAACTCACTCTCATTTTTTCCTAAACAGTGCCACCTACTGACTATTTTAAGTCATCAGGAGGTTGGAAAGCAAGCACCAAAAAGAAAGAAAAAAATAAAAATAAATCAATGGAGAACATTAACTCTTTCCAGCTTTGGGTCATTGGAAGATGAGAAAAGACCATCGAAGCAAAGCTAAGTATTTGGAGTCATCTTCATAGAAGACTTGCAAAAGGCAAAAACCATTTCCTTAGAAATGGATGTATCTCTTTTTTGAAACGTGCTATTTCAAGTTCTCCATACCTTGAGCCTTATTTTATTTTCAAGGCATGGTATTCACGTATTTTCAGTTTAGGAGACCAATTTGAACACAAAAAAATGCAATTACTTTTCTACCTTTTCAGCCCACCCAAAATGGAGATTTCAGTGTAAAGGATTTCAGTGTAAAGTGGTGCTTGACTTCAGCTCAGAATCTTCTGATTTGAAAGGAAGAAAGGGTTAACAAGAGGTAAACTAGTCACAGTCTTTAAGTTGTTGTTGTTATGTGCCATGGAGTCAGTTTCTGACTCATAGTGACCCTGTACAGGGTTTCCCAGGCTGTAAATCTTTACGGGGGCAGAAAGCCTCATCCCTGGTAATTTGGGGGAAACCTTCACTGATGGATTACCCAATAAGCAAAGTAAGCATGGATCTACTTGTGTTTACTAATCTGAAGTGAACAATTTCTTATGTATTCAGAAGATAAAAGATTCTGTTTGTAGGTAGGGTTGGCATCTCTCTCTACCAACCCCTTAGGACCTTCCTATGCAATCAAAGCCTTTTTCAAATTTACAGTCCCTGACAAGGACTGAGTACCCAAGGAAGCCAGGTAAACTTGTTTACGTATCTACAGCGAATAGTTTCACAGGGGAGGTAGTGACAAGCGAGAAACCTTTCATTACAGATTAGTAAGTAAGCACAAGCAAACCTGTGCTTACTTTTTTATTGGTTCATCCGTCCGTTTTCAGGCACACAAAAGCACACACAAACAGACACACACACCCCTCCCCTCTATTCCTTCCCCCGAGCCATCATTTGGCCCGAATAGCACCATGTGGCTATAAAACAAGTTATTAAGCACGACAGAGAGTTTATCGCGATGATGTGGTTCCTGTAATTTAGGAGTACAGGGATTTCTAGAATGCGTGGTTTCCAGATTCACTGCTGGAAAACAGGGAACCAATTGGTGGCCAGCCTGTATGCACAGCCTTTTTCTGCACATTAGCCATCAAGTTAATTGAATTCATTGGAGTTTCGAACCGGTCGCTAGTTTAGGAAGGACTTTGAATGGAATATCTCTTTCCCCTCCCCGCCTCCTCCTCGCCCCGCTCCTAAAGCCCTCCCCTCCCAACTTCCCAGTCCGCACCTCCCTTCTCCACTCCCCTCACTCCCACTCCCTCCTCCGCCCTATTAAAACACCCACCAGCCCCTTAAGTTGGAGGAGGCAGAAAGGCAACAACAGCGGGGAAGGAGAAGTCAAAAAGTCTGGAAAAAATTACCCAGTCCTGGCGGCGAGCAGCCCATTGAACCAGGGACTTGAACCAGCCCCAGCCAAAGACTTTCTCCTGATGCTGCCTGGGTTCTGCTAAGTCTTCACCCGGCTTTTTTGTGATATCAGGGGGGAAAAAACACAAAACAACACTTTTCTGATATCGGGGGAGAGGGACTGGAGAGGAAGGAAAAGAAAAAGAAAAAAAAAAAAAAGAAGAAAGAAAGAAAAGCAAGAAAGAAGAAAAAGGAGAAAGAAAAAGAAAAAGGCTCAAGTGCAACAGATATAGTAAAGAAAATTCAGTGAAGTTTTCCTGAAAAGTGGGGAGAACCAAATACTGAAGTCTCACCTATACATTTTTAAATGTTGTTTTTAAATTTTTTATTCTTTTTGGCCGGTCGTCTCAAATTCATCTGACCTTATTACCTCAATTTTGGAAACTGCTCTCCACCGACCCTCCGAGACCACACAGATAGACTGAGGACGACTTTATGACCAAAAGCTGAACAAGGTACGTTACCCTGGCGCGCTTTAGGAACTGTTGCGGGTCCTCAAATTAGGTCAGGAAGAGGGAAGAAATTATATACATGTTTCTTTTGTTGTTATTTTAAGTCTTATTTTGATAGAAAAAGTTGGAGGTGTGAAAATTTACAATAGACTGAAAACCAGGGGACTGTTTAGTTTACTCTCAGACTTAACAGAACATCTCTGTCTTTCGCCATCCCTGCAGCGCTCCCCTGAAATCCCCAGCCTCTGGGCACAATCACAGGTAACCTCCCAGCCCGGGATGTACTTTTCCATTCCGCAGGGGCTTCGCAGTTTGGAAGCAAGAATTTCTACTGTGTAAGGAAAATACATTCCGCACAGCCACCCGTCCCCTTACCTCTCCATCCCTTCCCCTTTCCCCACACACTATGTGGGGAGGGCAACTCCGGTACAGTCCAGCGTCTTGTATTTTCAAGGATGAAGCCCGCCTCTTATTTGGAATGCGAAGGGTTAAGCGATTCCGCCTCCCCACTCGGACTTTCGGGGACCCTAGGGAAGGAAAGCCCTTGCCACCTCCCCGCTGCTACCGGCCGCGAACAGCCACTCCCCCTCTTTTCCGGGCCTCCCCAGGTTTGCTTCGCCGGCTCCCATTAGAATGTCAGCTGGGTCTCAGGGCTCTGTTGGCTCGAGAAGGCTGACTGGGGCCTGGGGTCCCTGACGCACCAGCAGTCGTAGCGTGAGGAAGGCGCGCATCCCTCCTGGGGACCGCGCGCCCTGCGCGCACGCAGCTGCAACGTTCCGGGAGCCAATTCCAACGTGGCACGGGGCACGCCGGCGCTGTTTTCTGCCGCTGCAGCATGGGGCACCTCAGCGTGGGGGTTCGGGGGGACAGCCCAGTGCTCAGCTCCAGGATGGAGCGGGGCAGGGGAAGGCGCGGGAACTGAGTGGCCGTGGGCGGCTAGCCAAAGGCGGGTTGGGATGGATAATCAACACCTTGGGCGGAATTCATTACGTGGGTTCCCGCCCAGTGGGAACCAGGGCTCCGAAATCTGTCCCAGTGAGCTAGAGGGCGGGTCTGAAAGGAGGGTCTGTGTAAGGGCGAGAATGGGGAGAAAAGGCTTTTTCCTCTGGCCAAGGAAATGAGGCCGAGGGGAAAAGGCGCTGAAAGGATAATTAAGGTTGGAAAGAGGGGTTGAGAACGGAGAGGCGGTACCTGGAGAGGAGGGCTTACAAGACCCAGGTCCTATTACACAGCCTAAGGTGCCAGCTTCCCCTAGCGCCTCTCTCTCCAGCCCCCAAATGTCTGGCTGCAGTCTTTGGATTGGAGATTACCGCTCGCTCATGGGGCGAGCCAGCTGCGACAGACTCCGCCCTGTCCAGCTCCCCACCCTTTGGGGCGGTTGCTGCCAAACGCGTCTCCGAAGCAGTTGCCCAGAAACGCTACACTCCTCTAACGCTTGTGGCTGGACTGGGATTGCCTTTGACGTCACGCCGGGAGGGGGGTGTGATGCAATAGATTGGGAAGCGCTGATTGGCCACAAAGGGCTTCCCCAACTGGCGCTCGGAGTATATATAGCTTTCAGCTCTTAAACAGGAGGGACACTGCAGATAGGCTTTCCTAAAGAAGGGAGGCTGCTGACAGTAGCAGAACCACTTCGCTTCCCATTGAAGAGTTCAAGGCCTGTTCTCAGATTTCTCACTGGGGTGAAGGCAGATGATAAAGTTCCCTTGGAGGTGTTAAACCTGGTTATAGGAGACCTGGTGGTATCAAACATTCTGCTAAACCCACCAGCTGCTCTGTATGAGAAAGGTGTAGCAAGCACAATTTTGGACATCCCTCAGAGCCTCCTACTCTGTCCTCCTCCAGAGTCGCCATGAGTCCAACTCTACCAGATTGTAAGGGATAAACCGGCTTATCATCTTTCTTAAAGAGCATTTTAAGAATAAAGCTTTTGAAGGCTAATTTATATTCAAATGTATGCCAATGATGCTGATTTAAAATTAAATAATATTCTATAGAGAATGGACTAGGACAATTATATATGAGCCTTAAACAATTGTATAGGTCTATCAATTTTAAATTGTACAAATTGAGTTAAAAAGAACTAAAATTCTCAATTTGTTCTCATTTTATTCCAATATGCGTAAGTTGACATTCCGTTTGGTAGTATTTACCCTCGGAAACCCTGTACAGGGTCGCTATGGGTCGGACCCGACTCGATGGCACTTAACAACAACAACAACAACTATATTTTTCTAAAGGTTTAACAAGCTCAGACATATAGAAGAGAGGTATTACTTTTCCTGTATCCTTCAGATGCTTCCAAAGGTTTTGCTAGATTTATTTTTTTCCACTCTTCTTTCACATTTTCTGTAATTTTTTTAGAATTTTAAAATAAAATAAAACAAAACCCCACTGCCTTCAAGTTGATTCCAATTCACGGTGACCCTAAAGCATAGACAAGAAGTGTTTCATAGGGTCTCAAAGAACCTGCGGTGGATTCCAGGAACGAACCTCACACAGCAGCTCAGTTAACCCACTACACTACATGTGTGTTTGTGATTGCTGGAGCAAAAATTAATGACTTCAGTATCCCAGGGGGACATTTTAATCCTAGAATCGAACATTATATTGAGAATACCACCCATCTGTGGTGCTGGGAGTCCTGGTGTGGCGCTGTGGGTTAATGCGCTGGACTGCAAAGTCAGCATGAACTGCAAGGTTGGCAGTTCAAGCTCACCAGCTGCTCCTTGGAAACCCTATACAAGGTCACTATGGGTCAGAACTAACTCAACAGGACATAATAGCAGTAACACTTATTAATATACGACTTCTCAATGCCATCGAGTTGATTCCAACTCATAGTGCATTTCTGAGATTAAAGCTTTTTAAAAGCAGACAGACAGCCTCATCTTTCTCCCATGGAGCCACCGGTAGGTTTGAACTGCCAACCTTGTGGTAAACTGTCCAATGCTTATCCTACAGGACCACCAGAGTATGTAGACAACTGTAGTTGTATTGACATGTATGTCACCTCACATGCTTGTCTTGTAGCTGGAATTGAATCCTTACTTTACCGAAGAAAGGTATGCAACTTCTAACAAATTCAAGGACTTAATGAATCGGCAACTAGCGTCAAATTTGAACGTCCCTCTCCATAAAGCAAAGATGATACTTAGTTACTTATCTTCTTGGAAAACAAGTTTTGTGGAACAAACGAATAAAAGAGCATCATTGGAAAGTAAATTAGCATGGCCAATCACTTCCCTCAGATCTATAAACTATTACCTCACAATATCGAATGCTATACCTTTTCATATGATTTCCTTATCAGCTAAAACTTTTTTAAACAAATTTCTTTTTAATTGTTAAACAGTCTTTATGATTTTCACATATTCGTTTATTGTTTATTATTGACATCGCGGGGAACAACTATGGATCAAAGTGGGCAAAGTTCCATTATACAGTTAAATTTTAAATCTAAGAACAAGTAGTGTTGTTCCATTATTAGCCGCTTGACTCTTGCATTAAGTGGGAGTAATGAGTTCATAGTAATAAAAGAACAGAGCATGAACCCCACTGTCTCATTCTGGATCTTCCTTTTTTGATCCCTGCATACCCAGGCTAGGTGGCAGCTGGCATGACAGCTGAGTGGGAACAGCTCCCTATGGAAAACTCATTTCTATCATTCCAACTTCACTTTAACCGTTTCCTCTCTAGCAGCAATCTGCTTCGAATCTGAACCATCCTACTGCATATGTTGTTAAGTGCCTTAGAGTGTGTTCTGACTCAGCGACCCTGCCTAGGGGTTCTGAGGAGCACCTGGTAGGTTTGAACGGCTGACTTTGTGGCTCAAACTGACCTTGTGGTCTAATGCATTATCCTACAGCACCACACCAGGATGCCTCCTACTGCATATCACCTTAAAAAAATCAAGCTTTAAATGCCATTTATTTGGAATTTGTATGTTACTGTTAAGTGCTATTGAGTTGATTCCAACACAAAGTGATCCTGTACAGTGTTTTCTGAGTCTATAAATCTTTGGGGGAACAGAAAGCCTCATCTTTCTTCCATAGAGCGGCTGTTGTGCTTGAACCACAGACCTTGTGGTTCATTTGTTGTTGTTAGGTGCCATCAAGTCAGTACTGACTCATAGCGGCCCTATGCTCAACAGAATGAAACACTGCCCGATCCTGGGCCAGCCTCACAATTGTTGGCACACTTGAGCCTATTGATGCTGCCACTTTGCCAATCCATCTTACTGGGGGTCTTCCTCTTTTTCTTTGACCCTCCACCTTACCAAACATGATGTCCTTCTCCAGGGACTGGTTCCTCCTGACAATATATCTGAAGTATAAGAGACGAAGTTTGGCCATCCTGGCCTCCAAGGAGCACTCAGGCTGCACTTCTTCCAACACAGATCTATTGGTTCTTTTGGCAGCCCATGGTACTTTCAATATTCTCCTCCAACACCATAACTCAAAAGCATCAGTACTTCTACAGTCTTCCTTATTCACTGTACAGCTTTCGCATGCATATGAGGTTATTGAAAATACCATGGCTTGGGTCAGGTGCACCTTAGTTCTCAAGCTGACATCTTTGCTCTTCAACACTTTACAAAGTTCTTGTACAGCAGATTTGCCTAATGCAATATGTCGTTTGATTTCTTGACTGCTGCTTCCATGAGTGTTGATGGTTGACCCAAGAAGAATGAAGTCCTTGACAACTTCAATCTTTTCTCCGTTGATAAGAATGTTGTTAAGGAGCTCTGGTAGCGTAGTGGTTAAGAATTGGGCTGCAACAGCAGTTTGAAACTACCATCTGTTCCTTGGGAGAAAGATGCAGCTTTCTGCTCCCGTAAAGATTCACAGCCTCGGAAACCTTGTGCAGGGTCGCTATGGGTCAGAACCAACTCGATGGCACTTAACGACAACAAGAATGTTGTTTATTGGTCCAGTGGTGAGGATTTCTTTACATTGAGATGTGATCCAAAAGTATTGTAATCCATAAGTATTTTAAGTCCT